AGCTGCCAGCCATCCTGCTGCGAATCCAGCTGCTGCCAACCTTCCTGCTGCTGAGCCCCTCACCATGGAATCATCTACAAGGAGCAGCCTTCTCACAACAAACCTGGCAGCTCTACAGTTACTGCCACAAACTACATCACCAGACATCGCTAGCATTCAGCATGCTATCTCATCTTCCTACTACTCACCTTCTTGATTGAAAGGCTCCATGGGTTGTCTCCATAGGGTGCAGTTGACCTCACTCTGATTTTCTTCTTCTTTAACTCTGTTGATCTCTCTGACAACTGCAAGTCTGCCAGTGACCTAAAGTCATTGCTCAGTCTTGACAAGTGATCATTATTCTCTCCTGTTATATAACCCAAATATAAATCCTTATTAAATTTACTTCCTTTATAATCATGTTTTTTCTCCTAATGTCTTACTTTCCCTTTTTCATGGTGACTTTGCATTGTCTTCCCAGCTCCAGGCAAACTTTCCTAATTCCTTCCTAATAAAGTGTTTTTTATCTTTCAGCTTATATTGTGATTTTGCTGTTTTATGAGTCCTTACATTCATATTTTATTTCATAAATAATATATTAAGCCTGACAGTGACCTCTAAGTGGGCAGAACCAAGATGATCATCTCCATCTTACAGAAGAATACAGTTCCACAAAGAAAACAGTGGTCAGAACACTGGGAAAATACATGCTGTGGATTGCCTGTCTAGCAGTGAAAGCAAACCTACTGAAATGCAAATTATTTTTCTGCTTACACATGTATTCTGCAATCTATTTGCAAAACCTCATTGAGCACTTGCACATTAAGGCCTGCAGGCTGTTTAAAAAGCCATGCAATATATTTGAGCATTGTTGCATTTCTTGTACTGTGCTAGGACATTTAAGCTAGAAACTCTTTGATGGAATTCTTTGTTCCTTGATATCCTGGAAATGATATTTTGGGATGCTCTCTTCCATCTGCTCATGTACAGTGTGGAAAATATTTTTTAAAAAAAGAACCAAGTCACAGCCCAGAAAACATGCCCTCAGGACATATTTCATGCACTTCCAAACTTCGAGGCAATTTATTCTCCTGACCAAGCCCTTACTGAGGAAATTAAGTATGGAAGCACTCAAGAAATTGAGCTACTCTGGTAGCGTAGTGCCTAAGGCACTTGACTGCTAACCAGAAAGCTGGTGGTTC